GCCTAACGCGACCATCAACCGATGGATCGCGGGTATCCTTTTATTTTCATTCAAACTCGTTCATGTATCCGCGCAAAAGCATAAAGGGGTCGATGGTCTCTCAAGGAGACCAGTCGCCGAGGACGATCCCATAGAGGACGATAATCATGAGGATTGGATTGATCGCGCATACTCGTTCGCTATCGCGCTTCTAAACGATCGCACGCATCGTATAGCTGGTGGTTCGGGTGACATACGCCACGAAGCGCATCGCACATGTTTCATCTCGCAGAGCGCGCGCGTACCAGCGTTGCGCGTATATTTTGATGTCGCACAGACTGAAGAACCAGAACCAGATATTCCGCGCTCGGACGCGGCGCGCGCGCAAGACGCGCTGATGACCACTATAGAACAGTTTCTTACCACGCGCGAAAGACCCACTGACAGTTTCAGATGAAGAATTCGAGAAGTTCGTGAACAACGCGGCGCGTTATTTCGTTCTGGAAGGCAACCTATGGCGCAGAGCATCGCACGGCAAACACCAACTAGTGTTACCTCCAAACAAGCGCTATCGCGTTCTCAAGGAGGCGCATGACGACCTAGGGCACAAGGGTATCTATACCGTCAGCGCGCGCCTACGGCTACGCTTTTGGTGGCCGCGCATCATCGAAGACATCAAATGGTATGGACAAACGTGTCACGAATGCCAAGTTCGCCAAACGAGGAGGCTGCATATTCCTCCAATCGTCCCCATACCAGGAGGTCTATTTCGCAAAGCGCACATCGACACGATGAAGATGCCCAGGGCGGGCGGATATGAATACCTCGTGCAAGCGCGATGCGCGCTAACGTCGTATCCGGAATGGCGCATGCTGCGCAAAGAAAATACTAACGCGCTAACCGCTTTTATTTTCGAGGAGCTCTTGTGTAGGTGGGGCCCGATCACAGAAATAGTGACGGACAATGCGCCCGCATATAGGCTCGCAGTAGACGAACTCGCGCGCAAATACGGGATTCACCCGATCCGCATCTCGCCATATAATTCTCAGGCAAACGGTATAGTCGAAAGACGACACCGTGATGTCCGGGAGGCCATCATTAAAAGCTGCGACGGAGATGATTCTCGCTGGTATCAGGTAGTTCATTCAGTTTTCTGGGCCGAGCGCGTCACCATTCATAAAGCGACGGGTTTATCGCCCTATTTCATGATGCATGGCGTCGAGCCAATATTTCCCTTTGATCTTGCAGAAGCGACGTTCCTCGCGCCTTTACCAAGCCGAGGCGCGTTCACCACTACTGATCTTATAGCATGGCGCGCGCGCCAATTGCAGAAGCGCGTAGAAGATATTAACGCGATTAGGGATAAAGTAGTCGCGGCGCGCTACAAGTCCATACGCGATTTTGAGAGACACTTCCGCGCGTCTATCAAATCGCACGACTTCGAACCCGGCGCTTTAGTGTTGGTACGCAACTCGAAAGTCGAATACGAGCTGAGCAAGAAGACGAAGCCACGCTATTTGGGACCTATGATCGTAGTGCGTCGCACGAAGGGAGGCTCATATATGTTGGCCGAGTTGGACGGCGCAATCTCAAAACTTCGCTTCGCCGCATTTCGCGTCATTCCTTACTACCCGCGTAGCGAGGAGCGCGTATCGGTAACCCAAATGACTGGAGTAGACGACGAGAGCATCGACGAACTAGAAGCGTATGAAACCGTAGAACCCGATGAAGACGAGCCCGAGCGCGCGCAAGACGGTTAGCGCGCGCGACCATATTCCGCGCGCCCGCGCATCACTGAATCATATTCGCGCGAACGCGCGCCCCTCAAAAACATAAAAACAAAAACACCAGATAATACGAAGAACACAAAAATATTCCATTAAGTACATACTCTCAGTTTTACCCCGGGTTTCGTCCGGTGATATCTCTCATATCATTTGTTCATATAACGCGCATTGCCTGCACATAAACCCCACAGACTCTAGAATATAACCAACGCACTAAGAAACACGCTAATACCCCGCAAGTACATACTGATCACTACCTTAATTGTATAGCGCGCGCATAATCACCTCATTAGACTTTCACTTTCTAACACGCGCGCGGCGCCGCGCACCTTTTTTTTCTCTAACTTTCATTCAAGCGCGCGCGCGTCATCGCTTCGACGCGCGCGGCGCAACACGGCAGGAATAGATGATGGAAGGCGCGCGAAGAAGACAAGACGGGCGCGCACCCCGCAGAAAATTCAGTAAAGTCCATTGCATTACCTTGATCTCGTTGCGCGCTTGTCATTTACTTACATACTTATCATTTTAATTTCTTAAGCCCAGTGAATCAGATAAGGACATGGACATGGACATGGCAACACAGGATACATTGTACAGGCGCATTGGCGCTCAAAAAGGAGTACACAGGCGCATTGGCGCTTAGGAGACAAGAAAAACAAAAGAGAAGTGCATCTACTTAAGGGAGTCGTTGATCTGCCTCTCCAGTTCAGCCCAAGCGTTAGACATAGCGAAAAACTTGTTGGAATAGTTGAGGAGGTCCGCCTGTTGGGCGCGCGCATACTGGCGCATCTGGAGAGTGGAAGTGCGCAAGTGCGCATTTTCCTCCTTCAAACGCGCGGCTTCGGCGCGCGCCTCCTTCAACTCCACCGCTGGATCCTTGAACTTGTCCTTTCCCTTAGGCGCAGAACCAGACGCCAAAGGACCAACGGCGCGCACTGGAATATCGCGCGAGGCGCGCACGACCTTCTCCTCCACAGAGCGCTCCCCAACAATCTCCACATCCATCTCCGACTCCTCGGATTCTTCTTCATCCTCAACCGCAATAGAGGAAGCGGTTTCCTTTGCAGACTCTGCGATAGGGCGCTTGGGCATTGGTTTGCGCGGGCGCGCCTTAGGCGCATCAGTAAGGTTGCGCTTAGCTAATCCACAGCTGTCAGTGGCGCGCGCCAATGAAAGACAATAGGCGCGACTTACAGAAAGTGCAAGCGCGCTTGGAAACATCACAAGGAGGGCACCGTCGACCAGGCGCGCCTCCACAGTCAATGTCCTTGGCAATGCAGGCGCCACAGCGCCGCGCCTTGGTCACAGACATGCGCCCAACGCGCGGCTAGCGCAACCAAACGCGTTAATAGAGAGGCGCGCCAACAGGAAATAGAGAGGCGCACCTTTTTGCTGGCATCAGTACCAGACACGTCAGTGGCGCGCGCATCGACTTCGGACGCGCCAGTGGCGCGCGCAGCTTGCATGGGAGGCGCCTGAGGAACTGACGCAATCGCCTTCGCCTTCCAATCTTTCACAACCGCCTCAATCTCCTTGCAACTCTTCCGCCCCTGCTTCAACAACTCCGCGCTCTTATCATCCATCTCCAGCGCCACCGCTAACACACCCGCGCGCGTGGAACAGCCGTTCAAGGTTGCCTAGAAATCTTAGGCTACAATAGATCTAGACATGTAAGCGCACTCACCAGCACAGAATACCACTCGCGCAACCACATCTCCTGATCCTCGAGGAGTTCCGCCTTGAGTTCAGGCGCGGACATCACGCATCCTTCCAGGGAAATGAGGATGGAGGCCCAAGCGGTCAAGAGGCGGTCGGTATCGGATTCCGCGCTAGCGTCGTGCATAGGCGCGTCCTCAGGAAGCCCTTGCGCCACTGGAACAGGCTCAGGGGAAGGAGTAGAGTTCAGCATAGCAACGTTGAAAGTAGGCATGATGAAAAACTGATAACAAAGAAGTCAAGAGATCGCGAGAACGCGTCCATCTTCTTATCAACATCTCCTCCGATTACATCATCGATGCTCGCGATCATCAAAGGACGGCCCTACTCTCGCGATCACCTGATCCCTGTCTATCACCACCTCTCTAAGTCCAAGATCCTGCGTTATAGCACTGAGTGGGGACACTCAGAATGTAAGTCCCCAGGAGATGTAGAGACTCGCGCGTCTCAATGACGAATATCCGGCCTTTAACCATACATTCCTATACATTACAGCTCTACTCCTAAGGACCAGTCTCGCGCGCACTCGCGCGCGCCTTATCCGAACTCGCGCGCACTTACGCGCGCCTTACCTACGCACGCGCTATGCGCGCTTCGCGCGCGCGTTCGCGCGCCTCCTCATAGGTCTTCGCGCTATCGTCCGTCCATCCGTCCCATGTCCTTACTGATTCGCTGGTGCGTTATTTCTATCTTATCCATTGAACTAATAAAATCTTCGGTCCGACATCCGCGCTACTTATGGAAAGTTTATTTAAACTTAGTTATAATTAGAGTTGATATGGTTACTCGGTTCGGGAGCGCGCTCGGAAGCGCGCCTTCTCCATTCTTAAATACAGAAGGGTTTCCTTTAGTTCTGGGACTTACTTTTCCCTTATCTTTGTAGACTGGAAAGTGAATAGATCACCTCCCCACTTGTTATCTGATCATATCCTCCTGTCAATCCTCCACCTTTGCACTCACTCCTCAGTAAGATCTTGCCTCTAACGCTTTAGGCGCGCCTTCGCTTCGCGCGCGCGCATTCTCGGACCTCCCGCTCACGCGCGCATCTCGCGCGCCTTCGCCTCGCGCACGCGCGCCTTCGCGCGCGTTATCTTCTCGCGCCTATTAGCGCCCGCCTAGCTCACAGAGTTTCCCTCCACTTTATTTCGAGGAACTTCTCTCAGTGGTTGTCCTTTGGGTCGAGTCTTTGTCTCGTATCCCGGTCTTGCTGTTGAGCACCCCTTTTGTTTTAAGTGTTTTCACGTATAGTCAAGATTCCTCATCTACAGCGCGAAAGGAGCGGTCCGCAACTTCAGTACTCGACCGAACGAGAAACAACATGGACCATTGAAGCGAGCATATTTACGCCAAACAAACCGCAAGGATGTTGCCAATCAGGTGCGCAATTGTCCCTTAATTAAAACTGCCCACAACACCAACACCAACACACAGGTCCTCAAGCTTGATCACATCAGTCTGGTCTCCGAACTAATCCGCAGTCGTATTTCCTACCTCGATGAAGATCGGCACAAACGCACAATGTCACAGGGACAACTTGAAGACGAGGATACACTAGACGATCAACCATTCGCAGGCCATCTTCATATTGGCGCTCCTCAAGTTCCTGTCACTCTCGCTGCAGTGGAGGAAGGCAACACATCTAACCGTGCCTTCCAGGATTTCTGAAAGAAATTCACCAAGTTTCTCAACACTTTCGTTGCATCAAACGATATTCCTTTGGCCGATGGTGTTACATGGTTGCGGCCTACAGCTAACGACAAGGTTCGTTCATTCACCCACATCGTTCTGAATATCTGCTAATTATGGTTTATCATAGCTCCAAGAACATCGCTACCTCAAAGTAAACTATGAGTCTATTGTCGACTGGAAACTGACTACTGACTACCTCCGATGTAATCCAAACTTCCATGGGTGCGAACGTCGTGATTGTGCCTTGATCCGCACTCTAGACAAGGATGGGATCGACAAGTGCATCTTTGTTCGGCTATTGTTCATGTTCAAGTTCACGGTCAGCAATCACACTTTCGAACTCGCATTAGTCCTACCCATGGATGCTCCCACTGGTTCCAGAGGTGGTGTGGATCGTGATCTGGGGCTGACTCGCCTTCGCGCACGACCTCTAGCCTCCTCGGAATTTATTTCTCTGCAGTCTATCGTTCGCGGCGCCTTACTTGTGCCAGATCATGATCATGATCGTGATTTCTTTCTTGTCGATCTCGTTGACACGGACATGTTCCTCCGTGCGAAACTTTTGAGGTCCTTCTAGGGTAATGGAGGCCCACACTTTCCTGCGCCCCCACCCCCAATCCTCATCTAACTCACAAGGTCAAACTCCCTCATGCCATCCCCAATCCTTGTCAAACTCCCTCTTTCATTAATACACCTTACACCGCACGAAACGGCGCTCATCCTTCTCCAGCGCCCAGATTCTTGTTTTCCCGGAATTCCACTGCCCAGGGATCCCCGGGTCACCGCTTGTTCGTATCTGCTATCCTTGCCTCCAAAGTCACACAAACAATGACGTACAACTCTTCCTATTTGTTGCTCATTTGATGCAGTGTCAAGGTGTGTGATCCCGTATCTACAACTGCAGTCGTGATGTAGTAATAATCTCTGAATCCGCCAGGCACCCATCAAATCTTCAACACCCTCACCTAAGTATCGATTACGTCGTGCTTCCTCCTGCCAGCGATAAGACATGTCTGGTCTAGACTCATGGAGGTAAGTAATAGGGTGTGCGTTTACATTACATTCAATGGACCATGAGCCTCAGTACGTGTTTGTATATTATACTGTATATAAACATCTTATGGAAAAATTGATAGTCTCAGGCCAAGTTGCACCTCATCGCCCTTTGAACCATGCCTCAACCACAGCAAAACCAATTTGCTGAAGATGATTCAGACTTCGAAAGCAATTCACACGCCAACGAGGACTCGACCGATTCTGACTCCACTGACTCGGATGAAGATCTCGTGGAGATACGCGCTGCTATTGCGCCTGCTAGAGATGGTGCAACTATTCAGGAAGTCCGACAGGTGTGTCTTGTGGTTGTGACCGGTGTCGTTTCCCGCTACTCACATACATACAGGCGCTTGAAATGGCACAGAATCTGCTGCTGAATATGCATGGCAAATGTCGAGAACTATTGAAACGAAACGCCCTTCTCGAAGCTACTACAGCCAAAGGACGACGGGGGAAAAACTTGACTGCCAAGGATCTTGCACTCTCTGCCAAAGAAGACACTATACGGTGTAGAAACAACAATACAATGAGGAACAAAAGAAGCTCTTGACTGTATCTGTAAAAGTTGTAAGGTCGCGCGCTGCCTAGTCTGCGTTACTTGAGAAGCAAGTGCGTTCGACCCTATAGGGGAAGTGAGTGCAGCAAGGATCTAGAAGTGTGCGCTTAAGCGAAGCGCGAGAAAGCGCAGGAGCGCGCAAGGTACAAAGGCGCGGGAACGCGCGCGCGTATTAGCGCGAAGCGCGGGAAAGTGCGCGCGCGTATGCGGAAATGAGAAACTAAGCTTAAGTAGTGATATAAAGCAAGATAAGAGATATAAGAGTGCAAAATGTAAAGGAATAGCTTTCTACTATATTCTGCTAAGTAGTAAGTGGGTAGTAACTAGTAAGTGAAAAGTAGGAAAAGTCGGTCCCGTGTAGTATGTACTGCTGGCGCTTATATAGCGCGCCTAAGCGCGCTCATGCGGAGCCGAAGCGCTACCGAGTAGGTATGTAAAAATATATATGAGTGAGAAACTATGATAAAAATAAAGGTGGAACTATGCTAATAAAGGAAATGGAAATATACATACTAGGGAGCTTGGTGGACAGTGGATGGATGCATCTGGATGGCTGGCGCTATAGGGCGCGCAAGCGCGGGAATGGTGCGCGCATGGCGCGCGTTGCGTGGGAAAGCTGCGCCTCATATAGAGATAGCTGCGGGTAGCGCACAGAGTAATGCTATGAGTTCGTGCTGTATACTCCTTGGTGAAAACTACCATATCACGCCATGAGAGGCATGATTCTCTACAATGGGCTCACGGGCGTAAATATTCTATGACGCACTGTCTATGGATTAACGCCGGGATTTTTCCTCTGCGTGTGCCTCCTAACATTGAACTCTTTGGTAGCGAGCATTGGCTGTCGCCACAGTCAATAGAGGACGGCGTAAAGGCTGAGTTATTCAAGTTCATCCCAGAAATTGATCATGAGTTGATGGGCTACAAGAACTTTGCACCGCATGTAGGGAATGTCTCAGCTTACTTCAATTAACTTGCAACTAATTTCAATTCTGACAGTTTGCAAAGGGTGTCAGCGGCATTCGCTCAGAGATGGTTTCAGACGTCAAGTCTTGCGCAGGTGCTATTTTCGGATTGAAATCTGAATTTTTTGTCCGAGGCTACCCTCGCGATACCCAGCCAGAGTGCTGAACTTTGCTTGTAAATCCCCACGGCGAATACACAAAGTTTGCGCCGGTACTCTTTCTTCATCCAGAGCGTCCCAACAAAGACGAGTTCCTCAAAACGGCTAAGCTTGTTCGGGTGCGTGTGTTATTCTATGTACATTAACGAAGTCCTGATCGCTTCTACAATTACACTTAGGTCTTAAAGGTAGCACTTTTCGGGAAATCCTCCCTCTCCGCCACCTACGCTCTAGCCCCGAAGACCAAGGGCAAACTTTGGCAATTACGGAATACGACTCCAGGTATGATTGCTGCTGCTGCTGTTGTTGTAAGTATTCATTTAATGTCGTATCTCTGAGTGTGCGCTGATTAATATTCCACTGATAGGCAATATTTGTTCTTTCAGGTGACAAGGATCTGTATGCGAAAGGCGAAAAAAGCAACATACTGTACCAACAATATCACAACTATTATCGCCAACGTCTAATGACTGGAGGTGCCTGGGCGCGAGACATCACAAACTTTTTCAACAACGCCCTCTTTCCTGAAACCTCATCCTCACACGCCGCTCTGGATGTGGCAGATACCGGCACCTCCTACAACAGCTGGGAAGAGGAACTCGAGCGCGCTATGGAAGAGGGAGGTGAAGGGCCTGCTTTTCCATTTGATACTGCCATCATTGCACCTCAGGATATTGCGCAATCTTCCTCTGCTGCGTACCCACCATCTGCCTCTGCTGCGCACCCGCCATCTGCCTTGGTCGCATGCCCATCTGCCTCGGTCGCACTACCAGCATCTACTCCTGTCACCACCCCTGACACACTGCCACCTGTCTCTGCGACAGCTCCCGTCATCTTGCACTCGCCTACTCCTATCATTGGGGCACAAACTCACTCCATTTCTTCGGCAATGCAAGATCTTGCGTTGGCAGACGAGGCTATTGCAGTTGGTGCTATCCCTCCAAAGCCCAAACCAAAGCCAAGGCGTACTAAAGCCAAGGCGGTCCAGGACGAAACAGGTGCTGAGGTCCGTAGGTCTGGCCGCAAGAAATGATTCATTCTGATCACACGCTGTTTATCTCAATCTTTTTCTGCACGCTCAAATATCTTCTTTACTATGATACGACGTCAGTCAGAATCACTACTAAATTAGGTTAGAAGTACATACAACCAAACAGCTGAATAAGCAGCTACATTTCCAGTCATGCCAAGATTACCTTGTCTCTTGAAATCCAACTACCACAATTTCTCTAAGTCCATCGACAATCATTATAATCACTACGATTTCGCTCGACGTCAACGTCGCTGCAGCTCTGAATCATCAATGTGCCTCTAGACTGGACCATCCACCAACAAACAACAGTCTAAGCAGCAGCGCAGTCTACTGTCTTAAAGGTACTGTTAATTTTTTTTAAAATTTATCCCGTCGCCTCTGACCTCACCATTGTCCACCCGCTCTCATTGCCATCACCACCAGTCTGTGAGCGGTATTAGGAATCTGATTCAGCTCCAGCTCCAGCAACAACAGCAATAACAAAACAGGTATTTTTTCGTTTGAATTAATATTCTGCCTCTGACACTCCCAATTCAGATCTACACCCTCTCGTTGCTGTTGCCGTTACTCCCAGCTGCCCTCAATCATTTCTGGCGCTGGTGCACTCCATCATCATTATATCTTCCTATCCGCTCTCCTGCTATGTCTACCATACCATAAACAACTAGTCTATTAGTAAAAACCATTCTGTATTTTGAACCACCCGCAATTCAATTCTGAGAGTTTCAATGTGATTTCTATAGTTTGAATTTTACCGGTCGAATTGAAACTAGCGCTGCATGTCGAAATTCTCTTGAAATAAAAATAAATTATTGGAAGACACTTTAGCGCTTGAAACTGTCTTTCGATGCCTTGCAAGGCATGTCACTTAAAATTTTAGCACTGCCTTGGAAGGCAGACACAAGACCAAATGGGTCACTGCCAACCGGCTTATGGCAATTTCGGGTGTTCTTGCAAGTCAATCATAATGCTGCCGGCAAATTGAAGCCTTTCAATCTATTTTAAGGAATGGCAACCCAAAATATGTATTTCCGACATACTTTGTCTAGAAACTTGAGCCATAGTGGTAGCGCTGCTCCCATAGCGATGTCGGCTTAACGCAAAAAGGGAGTAAACAGCGAACTCTCCGTTTAGAACATGTTATTCACCTTATTATATGAGAGTCACTGCGTGCGTGACGGTCATTCGTAGTATTTAACTATCAACTTGACCCACGAATAGCGAAAACAGACATGATGACGGGAGCTTCAAGTGAATTTGTTTCTGGTGAGTGAATTATTAGCGAAAGTCTGAAAGTGGCGCTCTACCTCTCTATATGTACCGTTGCCCAGACGTATCAGGTTGTTTTTGGAATTTTCAATTTTAGTGTGAGATACTTTTACGCTGTTTTACCATCATGTGACGTCCGGATTCGGCCAGATTTCTGGAACCCTTCTGCTTTTGGGGGCGGGCAAGTCTTTGTGTGCCGCTTTGCATTCTTTCTCATTGCCGGCCAATGCAATCTACGTTTCGAGTTCCTTTCGACGAACGATTTGCCAAACAAATCAAATTATCTTGTCGAGTCCCGCCAGCTGCGTGTGAATCCATGACAAACAAACAAATCTATGAGGAGGACAGTGCTAGTGCTAAGAGACAGAACTTTGAAGCTAGTTTGTGTGCATGTGTGTGTGTGGGGGTGGTGAAATGTCTGTGAGTCTTAAATGGTTGTGCTATGGATCAGTGTGTGTGTGTGTGTGTGTGGATGGATGAGGCTTCCTCTATCAACTCAGGAAGACTGAATGCAGGTTGTGATTGTTAGTGCTGCCGTGGTCTGGTTCGGTCTGGTTCACAGAGGGTCAAGCAAGAACCAAGAACTGGACCTAGGTTTGGTTCTACCAGACTTGATGAACCTCGAACTGGACCTTGGTGAATGGTTCAGAATGGTCAGGTCCAGTCATTTTCAGGTTCGAACATGAACTGAACCAAATTTATTTACAATGAGCAAAAAAAAACATAGGTAGGACTTGTTGTGGTGCCACGGTCAATGGTCTCAATATCAAGAAGTAGGAGGGCATGAAAGATGGGGCGTGGCATGAGAGAACAGGTGGGAGAGAGTTAGCACAAGAGAACGGGCACAAGAGGACAGGTATGAGAGAGCAAGCATGAGAAAATGGGCACAAGATAATTGAAGATGAAGTCACTCACCTAACACCTCAAACTCAGTGGTTTTGGTTGCCTTTGTCTTTGTCGGCGCATTGATTTTAGGGGTGGAGGCAGTGATTTCGTGGGAGTGGGATGATGGGCTTGCAGGAGGAGTTGCACAATGAGATGTGTGGTCTGATTCGTCTGTTTGAACAGTGCATATCATGACTTACCTTGTCAATGGGCCTCTGCATTTGATAGAAACAAGTAAATCTTGAAGCTTGAGAATCCCTGAGGCTGAAGTGGATCATCAAAGGAAGTGTCAAAGCACGCTTCAACAATGTGGCAAGCTTCTTTTGGTTCGCAGTTCGGAACAGTTCGGGACCGGTCCGAACCAAAGTTGAACTGTTCGCCCAATGCCAGAACCAAGAACCATATTATGGTCCAGTTCTGGCTGACACCTGGACCGTGGACCAAACCACAGGAGAACCAGACCAAAAAGTCCGGTTCGAACCATGGTTCAGGACTGGACCACAGCAGCACTAGTTATTGTCAGTGTGAGGCAGATGCTACAGGAAAGATGCATACTAGTAGTGTGGACAGAGGATAACTTGACAAGCACCACAAATTTGGTGAGAAGTGAATACAGCACTATAGAGCCTGTACACATGTAGGCAGACACTCATATGTTGATCATTAACTAAAATCCAAAGTTGTTTAGAATTTGTTACAGTGTCACAGGCCTGTCACAACCATACACACATCAATTTCACCTGGCCCAAGAGCTGACACACTTAAACACCTATCTCTACTTGTAGGTTTCTTAGATGGGGTCACACGGCTGAGATGAGAGCTAGAACAAATATGTAATCTCAGTATCTGGGAGGAAGAATCCAGGTGCTATAAGTACCTAGAACAAATATGTACTAAGTCTTTGTTAGTAGCTGGTATGTTATATGAAGGTAATAGCACTTACATCTCAGTATCCGGGAGGAAGACTGAGATGCCTAATTCTATGAGAGACTGTTTTTATGTGCGGGTAGAGCAGGAATGAATGCAAATTAATCTGAGACCTTTTGACATGATGTTCGGCCAATGATGAGCAAATGTCTGAGAAACGATGTGCTTGCACCTAATCTGACGTGTCTGACGTGCCTCTCAACACTACTCTCGTGCTGTCTGTCTCACTTTATGATCATCCTTTGGAGCTGAAAAACATGCTGTCGAAGGCCTGTTTGCAGTACAGTACAGCAGGAAAGACTTACAACAGTCTTTATCTTGGTTTCACCCGCTAGGATTTGTTGAATGGCTTGTTGTTGTCCAAATCGTCCAAGTTGAAGAAGACCGAGAGAGCTGATGGCGAGGCATGAGATGTCAAATAGAGAGTGCAAGCACAAGGGGAGAAAGGGCAGGCACAAGGGAGAGCTGACATCGGGCCTGAAGCTGCACATGTATCAAGTTTCATTCTAATATGTATAAAGTCTAGCACCCGTGCAGACGAGCATCTCAGTTCTGTTTCCAGAGACTGAGACGTGAGTACCTATACCATACCTTATCGTAAACATATGCTGACACAACGTAGTCTTACCTATCAGGTACACGTTTCATTAATAAAGAGTTCTGTTTCCAGAGACTGAGACTCTTACCTATCAGACTCCTTGTGACCCTCTCGCTTGTTATAAATGCCTTTATGGCATGTATAATATCTGTCCTCGAAGTTCTTGTCTTCACTATTATTGACCTGCATCCTTGGAACGACAGATGACTTAATAGTAGATCTAAACTAATGTTTGGTTAGAAAGAATGCAAAGTGGCATGCAAAGACTTGCCCGCCCAAAAGCAGAAGGGTTCCAGAAATCCGGCCGAATCCGGACGTCACGTGATGGTAAAACGGCGTAAAAGTATCTCACACTAAAATTGAAAATTCCAAAAACAACCTGATACGTCTGGGCAACGGTAATATGACATCACCGTTCGGATAACTTCACTCGTGGTGTAATATCATTGGGACAGTATGTACATGATTTTGACAGAAGGCCACGTAGTAATTCTGATCAGCGATGGGATCAATTAGGGCCTGCACAAGTCCACAAGAAACGGGACAGCGCGCATTGTGCATTCGCGGATTGCTGGTGGGCTCTGATTGGTGTGTTGCTATAAGTTTAGTAGTGGTCCATTTTTATGGGGCATCTCTGGTGCTGACTAGAGTGTTGCATACAAGTTCAATAGAAGCTTGATGAGTCATCCTGCAGTTGGGTTTTGTGGAGCGGTCCGTGAGCCGGTCTGACGGAAAGGCTCAGTCTATTAGTCTACGGAGTGTGCACGCCGAGTCCGAGTCCTCAGTCTACGCTCTGTCTTGGAAGTTCAACAGACATTTTCAGTGGTGCAACCACGGTCTGCTAGTATCAGCTCACGGGAGTCGACACGGTGGTAGCTTGCGCCGACCCTCCAGTCGAAATCGGTGCCTCTGCCTTCTTTCGCTATTCCTTTCGCGCTCGCCAGCTGCTGCTCCCTCTCTTCAATCCGGATAAATGGGATGTGCCATTTCGTTCACAGTGGCTCACTCCTTTTCAGTCTCATGCGCAGACTTCTCGCGTTGTACGAGTTGAACCATTTGTCTGATGCGCTCGGCGTTGGTGTACGTTCAATCAAGCCTTCATCAGTGAATTCATGAGTCCTTGATTTTGTAGCCGTGGGAAGTATAAGATGATATCATTTTGCTACGGCTGAATATACCTATGTATACAGCAATAAATATTAGTTATCGGTACATAGCCATGAATCTCTGAAAATTCATTTTACCATGAGGAGTTCGCAACAAGATTACAACATTGCGCCGTTGCAGCAATCAATATGCAATAGCATGGTTAAGTTATATTTGTTGACTCATACCATGTTCCCTCATTTATGTTTTAAACTACCAAGTGATATAAGACTTTATCGTGGAAAGAACCGTTAGCACTTGTAACCTAATTTATATTCTTATGAGAGCTTCAACCAGCGAGGTATGATAGTGTAATTAGGTACCGTTTGTTGAGCAACATCATATTACCTCATTTATTTTTGACTTACAAAACTATATAGATCGGTTCAAATATTGCGTGAATTACAATGTCATCCAAAATCATGCACGTGACTATCACCTCAGCCTCAAATTTTACCTTAGAATTTTCGGACAACCTCAAATCATGTGACCAGCGCAAGTGGTTGAAATTGATTTGTCATTGTTTGCGCAGGACGGAAATTTACACGCAAGTTCCTTTCAATCCTTCTTTCACCGCTACTACCACCACCTCTCGACTCAGCATCTTCATTCCTCCCATTTGTGGTGGTCCCTCCCTGGCCTTTTCCCTGTGGTACCTCCTTGGCCGTTCGTGGTGGTTCCTGCCTGGCCGTTCGTGGTGGTTCCTCCCTGGCCATTCGTGGTGGTTCCTCCCTGGCCTTTCCTCATGGTTCCTTCCTGGCCGTTCGTGGTGGCCCTTCCTTTCCTCGTGGCCCTTCCTTTCCTCGTGGTTCCTTCCTGGCCGTTTGTGGTGGTCCGTCCTTCCCTCATGGTTCCTTCCTCTGGCCGTTCATGGTGGTCCTTTCCTTTCCTCGTGGCTCCTTGCTGGCCTTTTTTCGTGGTTCCTTGCTGACCTTGGTCCCTCCTTTCATTCATCTCTCCGCTATCTTTTCCTCTTTTCTTTTTGTCCTGTAACTACATATGTAGTATTTAAATATAAATAAAATTAATTTGCTTCACAAAACGAGTGCTGAGGATGAGAATAATTTGGTACTGGTGACAAAATGGCAGGTTGTTGTAGGCAATCTGTCATGCTGGCGCTTTTGGTAGTTCTGTCTAACTTACTCCAGGTAGTATCATTCTCGCAGATATCATGTAAATTTTGCAATTAGATAAAGCATTGTAAAGCTTTATATTTTCACGTCAATTATTTGATGCTTCGGAGTTGTGAACCTCCCTTTCGTTATGGCATTTCATAACATTTTATACGATAATCAGGGACGCGTCTTTCCTCTATAAGGTCAAACATAACAATGTGATTGTCGATAGCAAAATTATGCTAGTTCTTGCAATTATGTACTATATATTGTTATTTATTGCTATCTACTTTCCTCACGGGTTCACTGATGTTGGCACGCGGTATGAACTGATTAGTGCCCGCCCGCGCATCACATGCAGCTCACCTCACTTTACACACATAGCTCAGGATACTATACCCGTCTCGTTTCTAGACGTCGCTTCTCCCCTCATCCAGTCGCTAAACTACAAAAACATGGATAGATGAGGTTGCTTTGATTTTCTCTGACGGACTGCCCCATTTTTACATAAAGTGAAGTAAAGGGAGTCCAGGTCACCAGCAATACCATTGGCAATGAATGTGTTGGCACACTCGTAGCATGTTCTTCACAGTGTCGTCACGATTATGATTGTTCCATTGTGTGGTAGTATTCATCAGTACTGCCGACGTGGCCATGTTCGTGGCTTTCCCCAACGTTTTTAGCTTTCCCTCGCTGATTCTTCATCTTCATATAGATGATCCGCCAAGCGATAAAAAAGAAGTGTACTTGTGCATTAGCGTCTCGCTACTGACCTAAGTCGGTGATGAGGAGCATCCCGCACTGGAAGCAGGCGTCTGAAAGACATCGATGTTTCAGAAACACAAGTGAAGGATTTACTGGAATGAGATCATCCTCGAAGCATATGTTCGAACGTGGTTTCGAAACCAATAAACCAGAAATGTGAGAATTTTCATTTTGAAGCACGTGTGTGGCCTCCATCAATTTCGGATGTTCCGTTGTGACAATTGGTTTGCCAAGTTGCCATTCAATAATCATGAACCGGTAGATCCGTTCACATCATAGTATGGGGTGTGGTGTGGAGCGGCCAATAATTTTCGGCCACCGCACAATTTAAAGTTGGTGACGCGGCCAATTGCAAGTGACAGTGTAAGTTGAACACTTACCACTCAAAGTGATGTGATGCTAAATTCATGCCAGGATGAGAGGATGCTCCTTGATGCCAAATGAAGAAGTATATAAAGTCGGACGTCCGCTGTCAACATACTACACAACTTTCGCAGTCGATCGTTCTGATACCTCACAATGGCAGAACCTGATTTCAACACAGTTCATGACATCATCACTCAAGCTGTCAACCGCTATCCATTACACAAGATTTCGTTCATAACCTCCTCCGCACATGACTCCTCCATTCAGACAAAGACTTTCAGCGCATTCAATCAATATGTTCGTAACCTTGCACGCGCAATGCTCGAGTGGGGAAAGCCTACTGGCTCAATCATTGTTGTATACCTTACCGAACACGAAGAAAATATGGCTACCATCTGGGCTTGTCTCATGGCTGGCTATGTCCCCTGCTTACAGCCCGTACTCAGTGCACAACAGGCGCACAAAGAGGCACATGTTGCTCACATCAAGAACCTGTTTGAATCTGCAATTTGGCTCACCAACGAGCTCGGTGCTGAACAGATCAGTTCCATTGACGGTCTGGAGGTTCACTTGTTCTCTGACCTGAAAGCTTCAGCAGAGACGTTCACGGTCCCAGCTGACTGGGTTGCGTTCGAGCCTAAGCCCGATGATCACGCAATGCTCTTCCTGACTTCAGGTTCGACCGGTTTTTCAAAGGCGGTCGTGCACACGCACCGTACCATTATTGCTGCTTGCCATGCCAAGGAGCTACGCTTTGGCCCGCCTTCTGAGTCTCGAGTCTTGAACTGTAAGACAACTATTGTTAGAGCTTCTAGAATTAACCATGGCCCTCAGGGGTAGGATTTGATCACGTCGCAGGGTCTGTGGAAATGCACGTTACACCTCTCCTATATGGTGCTTCGCAGGTCCATGTGCATGCATCTGTTATTTTGTCCGATTCCGTTCGCATGCTTCGTCTGATCGACGAAAATGTATGTCTCAATTCAGCCGTGGCTTCTACTTATCGATTCATTGTGCTTCTTTTTCAGTCCATTGGTCTAGCTTTCGCACCAAACTTTCTGCTAGCCAAGCTCACTCGCGATCTTGAAAAGCGTACTGATCTTTTCGGATCTTTCGACCTATCCTCCATCAAGCGGATCATCAGCGGAGGTGAAGCGGTGGTCTCGAAGACCGCACAAACCTTCGCTGCTACCATGAAAAAGCTTAGCAAGAACCCCTCCGCAGTGTCCTTCATAGTCTCTGCTGGATTTGGAATGACAGAAACTTGGTATGAACCTTCATACAACATCGTTACATCTGAGCTGACCAGTCTTGCAGTGGTGGCTGCATTTTTGATCCAGTCGATATTTTTACAACCAAACCTGCTCGCGAGTTCCTTGACCTTGGACGTCCCGTTACTGGTTGCGAAATGCGCATCGTTGACCCTGTCGATGGCACTACTCCGCGCGCAGATGGCGAGAGCGGTGAGCTTCAGGTTCGCGGACCGATGCTTTTTGTATGCTACTACAAAAACCCCGAGGCTACGTCTTCCAGCTTTATTGAGGGTGGCTGGTACCGCACTGGTGATGTAGGCATCATCGAAGGTGGCTCTATGCGCCTTATCGGTCGCATCAAGGACACTGTCATCATCCATGGTGTCACATATGGTATCCCCGAGCTCGAAACCCATCTCCAGACTTTGGAAGGCATCACGCACTCCTTCCTCGCTGCTGCTCCATACCGTATTCCCGGCCAGGAAACCGAAGGGTTCGTCATTTTCTACTCGCCATCTTTCGACCTCGATGGAGCAGACGCGCCCATGAAACTCTTTGCCACGCACCGTGCTTTACGCGATATCTCTGTCAAGATGATCACCCAGCCACCTCAAATGATCGTTCCCATTCCTGTGAAGCAGATGGAGAAGACAACCCTAGGGAAACTCTCCCGGTCTCGCCTCCTCATCCTCCTTCAGAAAGGTGGGCTGGCGAAGCATATCGCCCGCGCTGACGAGCTTCTTAGCGAAGCACGCGGCGCTGCCTTCGTAGCACCCTCCACGAAAACGGAAAAGGCTCTTGCCAAGATGTATGCAGGTATCCTCAACCTCGCAGACAACGAAGTGTCAGCGAACGATAACTTCTTTGAATTCGGTGGTACATCTATCGGTGTTCTCAGGTAAATACATGATTTACCACCGTAAAAATGACCTTCACTAACGCAAATAATCTGCAGGCTCAAGCGTGAAGGAGAGGCGTACTTTGGCCTGCCTGAAATCCCCGCCATACAAATCCTGAAGCACCCCGATGTCTCGAGCCTGGCCAACTATATCGACTCTCTCCAAAGACAGTCAAGCTGAGGAATACGACCCCGCTGTTCCCCTCCAAGTGACCGGAGACAAGATACCCATCTTCTTCGTGCACCCTGGAGTCGGAGAGGTTCTTGTTTTCCTCAATCTTGCCAAGTACTTTCAGAATGAGTGTCCATTCTATGGGCTCCGTGCTCGTGGCTTCGAGCCTGGTCAGCCCTTCTTCACGTCCATGGACGAGATGGTTTCCTCTTATACTGCAAGTATAAGGAGGATACAGCCAATGGGACCATATGCCATCGCTGGCTACTGCTACGGTGGTCTGATGGCATTTGAAGTGGTCAAGCGCCTGGAGGCCATGGGCGAAGAAGTCAAGTTTTTCGGTCTCGTCAACGTTCCTCCTTATATCGCTCAGCAAATGCACGACATCGACCTCATGTGTGCGCTCCACGTTGCGTTCTTCCTCGGTCTCATATCGAAGCATGATTCTGAGAGTATGGTGCCCACTTTTAAACCGCTCACACAGAAGGAGAGGCTCGAGATCGTGTGGAATATGTCGCCTCCTGAACGTCTCGCCGAGCTCCAGCTGACACCTGAAACTCTCGAACACTGGGTCAAAGTCTCTGCGTCTCTCTTGCGTTGTGGAAAGGGATACACCCCATCGGGCACAGCTCGTGAGTCGCTTATTCGTCGACTTTGGCAAAGTTTGTTCATGTCTCTCTCCAGCTGTCATCGATATTTTCTACGCCGTCCCGCCTCGTGGCCCGGATGACAAGGTCAACTGGCTCAAGGAGCTCAAGCCATGGAGTGCTTTCAGTCGCAGCGACCCAATCTTTACCGATGTGCCTGGAGAACACAACACGCTCATGGACATTGATCATGCCTCGCAGTTCCAGAAGCTCTTCCGCAGTCGTCTTGAGGCTCGTGGAGTGTAATGTTTGTTGCGCCTTTTGGCGACATATACTTTTCTGATAAATATACGTAGGAGCACTGTTTGTATACATACCACTTCTGCGGCCTTTTCCAAATGGTTATAGAGTTTCAAAATTTGCTGATCAATATCGTATACACCATAACTATTTCGAGACATGCGTACACGGGTAGTCTGCGACTCCTTAGTTGTAATGTTTCACCACTATCCCCTCAATGACCTCCTCTTCGACATTGTGCTCTATTCCCTTCTTAAGATCAGACCTACCATACGTTGTTGTCCTTCCCTTCCTCCACGCTGCGCACAGCGGGGCGTCCTCGTCAGGGCACCGGCGTTGGATGCCGAACTTGCAGAGTACCGGGCTCTCAACACACGGTATTAAGCGAACATTATCATCTGGCATTGAGAAGAAGAATACGCCCAGACGGTCGTAGTTGTGCTGATCCTCAGGAGGCTGTACGACGCGATGAATCGTGGGCTTATAGTAACCACCACTGAAGAAATCCATCATGTCACCTGTGTTGATGACCTGAGGACGTAATATTGAGTTTGTGATTGTTACAGTGGTTCACTCATTTGCGCACCAAAGCGTTCTCGATGTGGCGGACCCATTTCCATCTGCCGTCTGGAGCCTGAATTTGCAGGCCTCCGACAGGTTGGCTCCACAGAATGGTGACGCTGCCAACGTCTGCATGGTTGAGGGACATATAACGACAAGTAGTGAAATAAAATGTACCTGTATGTCCTTTCAACCAGACATTTTTAGATTTCTCCTCTTCTTCCTTGGTGCGCCTATAACTTTAGGAATATTGATCAGGTTGACAAGCAGGTAGTACCATTAAGGGACACTTGCTATTTCATAAATCTGACTGCGGCATGATCGCCCATCAACATAGGATTGAAAATATCGTAGAATGAGACCAACCACATGCTTCTCCTGTGCCGTTAAAGTTGTGTCTTTGTACTAGAGTCTCCTCGGGCAACTCGAGGCTCAAAGCGAGCAAGCTGCAAGAGACAGCTCGTGAGATGAGGTATCAACAAGGGGCCCACGGAGAACTAACCGAAGGATTGGATGGACAACGTTGAAGTGATTATGTCGGGCGAAGGCATCGATTTCCGGGAGGAACGGACGCAAGGCCTGAGGGTGCGGACGCCTTGTGACGTCCTTGTTAACTGTCGAAAATGTAAAGGACGCCTACCACACAGAAGACTGTAGCACCTACTTCCATAGTGCTCGATCTGATCGAGAACTTGATTCTCCGCGTCGACTTTCTGATCATTGGGCGATTAGGACAAGCTTTTATGTACGTTTCTTGCTAGAATGTGACACACCCAGAATTGACGAGCTTTAAAACCTGCATAGTACCCAACTTTCTCGATGTTCGCAGCGTACGTCTTCATTTCATCCGGAGGAACAACGGTGAAAGGGACATTAGCTATGTCAAAGATCCTATCGCGCTACAACAGCACTTCAGAAACCTTAGTATGGGCTACGGGCACAAGCGCACCTGAGCCTGGCTATAACCATGATTTATAGCATAAACAAAGCCGTAGGTGCGCAGTGCATCTCGAAGTTGGGGATAGAGCTCTGCCCGTCCTTCCGGCGTATGGGCCTTGGAAAGATCAATGATGGCCAGGTCTGCAAACTCTACTACACGCTGAGTCGTTAGCTAGACAGACTATGTGGATCAGATACTCCCTCACAGTCCTCATTTGTGGCCGGAGGCGAGATATAGCGCCCACACTCGGGCAATGTTAAGCTGGGCATTTCCACTCGCTAGACGGTTATGGGAGAAAGGAGGACCTGGGACTTAGGGAAGAAGAAAGCTAGCACGGGACCCATTACCACTTCTCAAATACAGGATAGAGTTGAGATAAAGCATCAGAAATAGACATACGGTACTGTGACCGACCAGATGACTTTAGTGACCCTTCGGAGGTCCGGAGTTGATGGTATCAAGTACTTCGAACATGGCGCTCGAGAACTTGGAAGCGCGCATTGTTGTGTCTTGTCACTTGCATATTCGAAATACAGAGTGAAGGAATTTCGAAGTTACGAGGACATGTAGGAAGAGTCTGTGACTTGTCTATATAAACCTCACACAGACTAACCAACTTTCTGGAAGTTACGGTCCAATGTAGGACCGCATCTCGGAAAATACCGAGGAACCTTAAGCCTAACTTTGGACGTCACGCTGAACCTTATCATTTGTGACGTCACCAGTCACTGGTCACTGGTCACCCTTTATCATTCGAACTGCTTGAATCAACCTGCACCAGAGAAGGCACTCGTGTGAAGAGTTTAGGGCAAGCGGGGTCCTCCAGCTCAATGCTCGGAGGACCCGCAATCAATTTTTAGTACTAGGAGTGACAGCTCGTTGGAAAACGGAAGGTACATATAGTAACTAGGACGAAATAGTAATGTACAAGCCACCAAACAATCGGTGACTGAGCTCCCCACCGAATGACTGGTGACTGAAGGCCAAAACGACTGGTGACTGAAAGCGAGTCAAATTTGACTCGAAAAGAGTCGAGTTTTGGACCAAACGGCTAAAGGGCTATTTTTTTTTTTTTTTTTTTTTAATAATAGTGCCAACACACTGATCACAACCCGATAGAGCCGCAAAACGACCACACTGAGAGACTTGATATCCGAAACCAAAAGATAGAGCTGTGAAACGAGAATAAGAAGCCGCGAAACGAGGAAATGAAACAGACATTTGAAGTTGGACAAATAGCAACTCTGAGCTGTCAAACCTAGTGAGTTACGGATTTTGAGAACCGTGTATAAGCAGATGAAGCAGATAAGGGTGCTTTCGAATGTATTTTTGGAACTCGTCCGAAGACCAGCGTCCCGCTGCCTGAATCAGCGCAGGCGCGACACCAGTCGCAGCCAGGGCAGTTGCTCCCCCGGCTCGCATCGAATGTCCAGCAATAGTTGGCGGGAAGAAACGCCGAAGATATCGCATGAACCATGCGCGTGTAGGAATGGTGCTGTTCGCAGTCAACCAGAGGTGGGGATGGTGTTGAAAGCGAGTGTCACGAGCATGGACATACCGTTGTAAAACATCTAGAGGGTTCACTCTAGACTCCGCCTCAGCTAACACTAAAATCTCGCATCCTACTCCCAAAGTATTTGTTTTGTGGTGAGGTAGAGTGTACCTTGCTGAGGTTGGGGACGATACGAGAGAGTGTCGCAGCGCCATTTTACGAAAGGATTGATGTTTCTTTGCATTCGGCCAGCAGAGCTCTGCTAACCGCTGCAAGGTTTTGAAACCTGTCACCAGCAAGGCGACGAATAAGATGTCGTTGAAGTCCGTCGACGAAGCGAACGTGTCCACCACAACAGCAAGATCATCCAGAGTCAGTGGTTCTTTACGTCGAACAGGCTTAGATAAGCGATGTTTACAACCTTTAAGAGTGCGAGTAACGAGCAAGGACGTGCGCACGTCACGAACTTGCGGAAAGTGTGTTTGAAGTCGATTCACGATACCCGAAAGATACGAGTCCACGGATCGTGGCTCAATATGATGTGATAACCACACCACGAAGAAGGACAGAGTGTCCGCGGTAGGTTCAACGTCCCTGTTATGAAGTCGACAAAAGTTCAGATATGAGTTTAGGTGTGAGTTGTAAGCTGAAGCTGTAGTGGTCTCGATAGCGCAACCAAGGGCCAAGGAACGCTCTAATTGTAGGTGTTCGAGAGTCCAAGCTTCCCGTATGGGTTGCTTGGACCGAGTGGTACTTGGGATCATTTTTCTTTCACCCCCAGTGCATCCCGAGGGGGTTCGAAGTCGAATATCTGTGCTGATGGCACCAGATCTTTCACGAGTTCATTGTGAAACCGTGACAACGCGTCAGCGATGACGTTCTGTTGCCCCGGAATATGTTCCACTCGAAGGTCAACATTATAGGTGATTAAGATATCCACAGCCGAAAGTAACAGTGAGTTATAGATAGGTCTTGCTTGAAGTGAGTCGAACATTGACACAGTGTTGGTGTTGTCGGTGTAAATGAGTAATTTTGCGGGAGTGTCGTCCATATTTGTGACCGTGTGAATAGCGGAACAAACGGCCAAAGCCTCGAAGAAGAAAATGGTGTCGTGAGGAGCATCTCCAGGTAAGGGTGATTGGCATGCGAAGTTTTCGTCTGGAAACCAGAGTCCTAATCCTGCGGCTGACGCGTCAGTGTAGACAACTACAACGTCATCTCTTGACGCGTCGAAGTCTAAACACCGGAATAGGTGTAGGCCATCCAAACGTTCAACGTGGTCCGCGAGCCAATGTAACTCGTGTAGCAGTGCATTGTTGACGTGAATTTGAGCGAGGGCGTTAGTCTTTCCTCAAATTTTGTCGTAGAGCACCGACAAACCGGGCTTCAATAAAGGGAAGACATTGAAGCTCCATTCACACCAGCCAGCCAGACACTGGAATTCGCGAAGCGACCAATGGTGATTCTTTCGTGCGAAACGACGTAGCTCTGTAACCAACTCAGCCTTCTTATGAACGGGTAAAGTAACTTGCATAACATTTGGGTCGACTTCAAATCCGATCACTGTCAATGGTGCGCCAAATACTTGTTTGGGTCGTTCATGCGGTAGTTGAAGGTCATCCCAGAGTTGTAAAAGCCGAGTCTGTTTCGCGGGAAAGTAGCAGTCATATGGGGGATAATAGAGAACATGTCCTGCGACCTCGAAAGAGAAGGAGTCGTCCATGTAGGTCTTTAGAGCATCAATTAGAGCCCGGTGAATAGCAATCCACGCGACAAGTGACATAAAGGATATCCAGATCTTAGGAGAACCGCGACCACCGAAGTTATTGTTACGGTCAACATGACGTTGACCATGCACAGTCAAAATTTGTTTGATTTGCCATAGAGGGTGCATTGGTAACCGACGGAAGGCTTGTGAAACGTCAGATTTGAACATGATTAACTCAACGTTTGGATGCAGCTCTCGAAATCGGAGCAATGAGGCCCCCAGTGAATGTAGACCATCGACCTTAGTACCCTTGATAGCGTCTCGATCAATCATAGAGTTCAAGGAGTACTCGCCCGCAGTGTGGTCCACAACTAACCGAAGTTTGTCGGTATTGGGTTTGGGAACAGTGTGCATTGGGACACTATACATCCCTGGATAAAGCTCTGTTCCGAAACTTTCAGACACCCGGCCCAAGTGGATTTCTTCCCGCATCTGGTCCTCAATGAATTGAAGTTGTATGTCGGTTTTGGAACACGTATGCGAAGAGTTGTCATTAATGGAGGGGTACGAATTATCAGAAGTGTCAGCCCAAGGCCAGAAGCCTTCGCGCAATGCGTAACAGACAGATTTAACAAAAGGCTGATTCGGATGATCTGTAAGGAGTTCCTCGAAACGGTTAACATTGATGGGCGTGACGATGCGAAACAGGTCCAGCCTTCGAGCAATGGTCTGAGCTGCATCACTGTTTTGGAGTTCATGTGAAGGTGGTTTTGGAACAGGTTCTGAATATTCAGTAGAACGCGCTGTGGGACTAAATGAAAGATCCATTGGAGACCAAATAAGGCCCCGTCTACGTCGCAGGCGCTTAATTGGACGTTCAGGTAGGTTTGGACTTAGACTCCTCGAAATGTCTCGCTTCCGTGTGACGTCGTGCACACAATCTCCCGTCCTGCTCGTGTGAACAGACATGCGCGTAATGGCAGGTTTGAGCGCTGCGAGAGCATTCTCCTGAGTTCCATTTACGACAGGGCTCTTGCCGATTAAAGGAGGTCTTGTCTCGTGCCGAAGCACCGAGTTTTGACTGCTTGTCCTCGTCGTGATGCCTGCCGTCTGATAAGAAGTGGGACTCATATATGTCTGCAAAGGCCGAGAAGTCAGAGAGTTCAACTCTTCGAGAGTTTGCAGCCCTGTTCCTAACGGCTTTATCAAATCTAATGATTCTCTCATGCGCTCGCTCGACACTGCGGTCAAATTTGTCGTTAATGTATTCTCCATAGGCGGCGAGCTCATCCTCTCGATGAGGGAACGCGAACTTAATGGCCCTTGAGGTTCTATTCCACGCTGCGGACCATTGTGCAGAGGTAGTGATCTTCTTCGAAACTGCCTCTGTAGCGGTGGCGAACTTGATCTCAATGTCCCCAATGGTTTCGGTACATTTGTCAATGGTGCGCGAGGAGGAGATAATAGAGTGTACGGCATCAAGATTAATGCATTTTCCTGCGACAATTTCTGCCCATCCAGCTTCATGGAATTCCGGGCAGCAGCGATGGTACATGAGTCTTCGCCGAACCTCTTTAGGGTCTTGCGACCAGTTGAGTAGGATTTCGTTGGTGCGTGTGAGATTGGCTGAAAGCTGCCCTCCTTTGAATGATTGCTCGGCTCGTCCGAGACAAGAGAGGTCAAGTTTGGACCATTTTTTAATGGGTTCACCTTCGTCAGCACTGGACTCTCTCTCATGCCCATCCTCTCTAGGAGGGACAAAGTCCCTTTCTTCGGATTGTCATGCAGGGTCATGTTCCCGAAACGCTCTGGTCCTTTCAAGGTCATTGGACCATTGTTCAAGCATGTCGAAGTACGGACCTGCGATAAAAGATTCGGCTTGGTCCGTAACTTCATTAGAGGTGGCTGCGACAACCTTTGAAATAGTGATAAACACTTCTTGCTTTGAGATAAGTGATTGTTTGAAGTCTTCAACGATGTTGAGGCACTTCTCAACCAAGTCTTGTTGCAGAACAGTCGCCCTTCCAGAGTTGGTTTGAGACGAAGTCCCCGCTTGTCCGGGTCCTGTAAGTGATGCTTGGGTGTTGGATGAAACATTTTGAGTGTTAGACATGGAGGTACGACCGAATTCGAAGTTTAGAACAAGAATTCAAGTAAATAGCTTAAAATTGTGGCGCAGAACGTGCTCAACGCTGATGACGGTTGAGACAAAAGGACTGAAGTCCGAAGTCTGCGTCACCAGCGTTTAGGAGACTCAGTCACAACCATATGTCACAATCAGTGACAGGTATGTGCGCAGAGCTGAGACTCGGCCAGAGCCGAGTGCGAGCGTTGATTCAATTTCACATCGGGGTGAACAATATTTAAAAGAGGCTTATATGTTGTACAAAATGTGAAAACACTATTTGATATTTAAACTAACATGAAGATGGGTGCACGACTTCAAATTTTGGTGGTGTTTTGTGTGTCATCCAAAATATCAAATATTCACAACCATATTCACACAGACAATATGTCAACAAATATAAGAAATATAATCAGATTTTCCATATCCGCTTCAATTTAAAGTTGGATCCTTACATAAAACTTTGGAGAAAACTTGAAGTTTTGCCACAGCTTGACATTTAAATTGAGTTTTAATGTCATGTCATCTGTAAAACTTCAAGTTTTCTCCAAAGTTTTACATGGAAATTGAACTTTAAGTTGAAGCAGACATGAAAAATCTGACTATATTTCTTATGTTTGTTGACATATTGTCTGTGGGAATATGGTTGTGAATATTTGATATTTTGGATCACACATAAAACACCACCAAAATTTGAAGTCGTGCACTCATCTTTATGTTAGTTTGAATATTAAATATTGTCTTCACATTTTGTACAACATATAAACCTCTTTTAAATATCGTTCACCCCGATGTGTTTGTTTAAACCTATTAAAACCCAACTAAACCACATTAACGGAGGTGTACCTCTTCCACGTCAATCGCGCTTGTTGCCATTTCTATACATTCGGGTGCAATCCGTTATGCAGCACCGGAACTCGTTCTATCAGATGGTATCCGTGACTTGGGGCTTTTGGAAAAAAACCAACACCTACTCTTTTGGTGGTGTAATGCCTCAGATGGGTGAGTAGTTTTGTCACAAAATCTTCGTTTGAAGACTCTGTTTCAGTAGGCTCTCTCAGGAAGGGCCTTTGTCTGAGATGTAAAAAGCCGGAAATCCTGAATCATTAATATCTGAAGGTCGCGGACGCGGTGCAGCGTCCATGGCAATTCTGCAATAATAGACCCAGGTCGGGACTTTATCTGCACGTAGGTTTTCTTCTCAGGTAGTGCTTTGCTGATAATCGACTTACGTGCGTTTCAAAAATTTTCAAGACCATCTAATGATTATCCAGATGCATGTAAGATATGATGGCCTGGACACGACAGAATAACCACCCAGTAATCCTCCACCCCGTCCCGCCCTGATCATGAGCCGATGACTTCAGTCACAGCACCTCGAGATCGGGGATCTTCATAGGTTCCAAACCGGCACAGATTCACAGATTTGAATATTTATTTTGTTTCAAGTGCTTGTTCGTCACTCCTAAATCTCGACGGCACGGGTCCCATAACGGTTTTCGGCACTGGTGCTTCTCATTCATTTAGGCGACATTGATTCATTTGGCACTGTTCCTCGTTCGCCGCTTCCGAATCTAGGGGGTCACTAGTCCCGTAACAGGGTTCGGTGCTGGTTCTCGGTCATCACTCCCGGACATAATGGCGTTTAGATTTGGTCTGGTGTTCGGCAAATCGGCATTGGAGCCATAACAGCTAAGCAGCGGAGCAAGACACTTGATGGAGTTCAACCATATGGTTGATATGGGGATGGAGAACGGATTCCAATACTTATGCACTACAACAAACAACGGAAACTGTTAAGATGCGGTGCTCTACGAACTGTCCTGGGAATTAGTGCACGAGGGGGATGCGTGGGGACATGCAAGATGGACTGACCGCTACCCAACAGTCCACCACTCCATCCCGCTCATGAACCGAAGCATTCGATATGAGGGTCTCGGTTTCAGGAATCATAGCACCTCTACACAGAATACTCGCATGTTTACATTTACATCTTTCCTAGCCCTGGTTCATCGCTTAGCCATCCCCAATCGGAGCTCTACAATATATTTCGAATATTATATGGATCGATTGCGTCGAACCGCGAGTCACATTTGATGTAATAAATCATGGCCATGCGCAGCCCAAGACGCAGTGGCATTGGAACACTTGCGACGTGAGCGGAGGTGTCATTGCTACTCGAGTCAGACCATCGATGGAGTATGATTGGGTTTCGCTCACCTCTATGCCTGAGATACAGGGGAATTTTTTCCCTCGTTCTATGCTTTCATATCCTGCATGCCAATATCGTCCGATGACTCTGTTGATCCAGTGGCGTTATCAGAGCAGGCCGGTGCTTGGTGCTTCCCAAAACGCTCCAACTCCAAGGCTGGCAAGTCGTCTGTATCTGCAACAGTCGCTTGCTCAGCACCCGTCTCAGCATCTCCTAGCTTGTTCTCGCCGCCGCGGATGATCGTACGTTTGAGTGTGTAGCTACGGATGAAGAGAACTAGGAAGAGACCGAATGCAGATAGTGGGGCGCTGACTATCCAAATCGTGCTGATAGATCGCGAGTAAGCATGCATGACTTCGTGGCGTACTATGGGGTTCTGGTGGGAGTGATCGTTAAGCCAGAACCGAGACCATGGTAGCGTGCTTACAGAAATGGAAGAGATCCGCTTTATGTTACCGTTTAAAGCCGTGGCAGAAGTGTCGATTGTGAGGCCTTGGATGCCCTGCATTTTCTGCTGGAGGACACTGGAAATAACAGCTTCCCCCATCGCCATGCCTACCGTACTCCCAAGAGTTCTCAAGACCAATGAGTACCTACGAAAAACAAATCGTAAAGTCACCTACCGGAGGAACATAAAAGTGCCTGTACTGGTAGCCATATCCTTTATAGGCATGGCTGCCTGTATGGCAATAAGCGGGCTCTATTGGAGAGGCGATGATGACCGTGCATCGTTATGATGTAGTAAACTCACCTGGAACAAGCAACCGACACCGAGGGAAGTAATAAGGGGGTAGATTTCCTGTGCTGCACTAAATGAAAAAGCTATAACGACCGCGTGAATCCGACACGACTAAGTACGTACACAGTGGTCGTATCATCCAGCATGGTCATGAGGCCCCAACCAAGCGTCATGGAAATCCACCCGAACCACATGACAGGGCGGTAGGATCCCATGCGAGTCAAAACCATTCCAGAAACTGATGACATGAGACTACAGCTTAACGAGTAAGGAAGCATTCTGCGCATATCAGCAACATAGGATAACAATGATACATGGGTTCAATACTCACTTGACGCCAGAACTCGTTGCCGATGCGCCAAGAACTTGTGTCGAGCTCAGCAAAATGCAGACTCGAAGGCTATAGGACAGGCCTACCTTGGTAGTACATTGGAAGGTAGCTAGAAAACACATGATGATGACAAGTATAAGCTCTGTCTGAACGTACTCACTAAGAACCTAGAGTAGTCACGCAAATGATTGTTAGTACTCCAGAGAAAGATTCGCGTGCGTGACACACCTGCGAAGAATATCATAGCATGTATGAAGACAGAAACTAATGCAAAGCCCGTCGTACGTGTCTGGAAAACCATGAGACACGATATTGATATGGGGAGCTTTCTCAACAACTCGCCTGGAAAAGACGAGGAGGAATAATGGGCTCCCGCTTCGTATAAATCTCATTGATTCCACCGATGATGAGCAGTGTACCACCCACAGCAAGGAGTGCAATGGTTTGGGGGTTTTTCCCTAAAGAAAATAATAATGGGCTTCGGTTCTGTAGAGTAAGAAGATGAAATTACACGTCGTTTCGGTGGGGTTGATACCAATAAGGAGACAAATAACCCCTACAACGATCACAAACAGTCCAACGAAATCAAATTCTCGGACATGGTCGCGGAACGGCCTTCCTTGGTGCGGATTCAGATTTAAGAAAAAGAATAAAAGTGCCCCAGCTAAGCCACCAGTTGGTCTGTCCATAAGACGTGTTAGTAATAAGCTTCTGATCTCGCAGCAAACATTGAAAACATATCAAGCGCACAAGTTAATCCAGAAGCACCTGATACGCGTCAATCGTGAAACTTCGGTCAACAAATAGCACACGCAAACTTACCACCTCCAAGATACATGATCAGTGAAAAGCTATAGCGCAAAAAATCAATTCTCAGATCCCCTCAGAAGATGGGAGATCTCACACCGCCGATTAACGGTCCGATAACACTGAGGAATAAGTTTCAGGCTTTGGAGGCTTAACGGTGGTGTTTTATTTAACCTTACCTTGCTGTGCCCCATGTGGCACCAATGAGACCAGTATACTTGCCTCGCCTGGAAAATAAATATGATCAACAATGACTTGGTACTGGTAACACATATTTACTCTTCCAATGGAACGATGTCGGATATGGTGATCTGTACGAGTTGGAAGATGCCGCCGCCGCCAACTCCCTGTACGGCACGAGAGGCAATCAACCATGTCATGTTCTGAGCTGCACCACACAGCGCTGATCCCATCTAGTCTATGAGGTCAAAGCCTAGTCGGACGCGCGTGCTAGCAATGACATACCAAAAATACGAGGATGCATCCATATAGCATGGGTTTGCGGCCTGCAGATCCCAGTCATAAGTTGATTCCCGAGTAACACTCCATAACGCTCAAAGAGCACTCGCCTAAAATATCGGATAGCTTGCCATATAGCGGACTCAAAGAGGAGCACGCCAGCATGTAAGCACTACGTGGAAAATAGTATCACGTAATGACACCACATGTAACATATACATACCTCCCCACCCAACTATAGTTCTTACCTCCCCCTAGATCAGCTACAATTGTGGGCAAGGCGGTAGCAACGACAGTCTTAGGGTATGTCAATTCGATATTCATCAATAAAATAACACAAATACGCACTTGATCTATGGCTACCAAGAAAATTGTACACATCCAGCCAATAAACACAATCCCTAGGCGATTTTTAGGGATGACGTGCTCCTCGGCCATTTTCCACGATGCACCTGGCCTTTCTTTGGCCTCCTCGACTGCTGGAGATGACGGCTCTGCCATCTTTGTCGTGTTGTGAAAGTTTTGTTCACGAGGGCAATGAGTGAATTTGAAGAACGCACAATGTTAACAGAAAATGGACAAAGGTGGGTTGGTAACTTCGTAACACATACTAGTTCATGTGTAATAAAGGTATAGATGAATTATCAAATTCGCCGAGGTGTAACGTTCACAGGGTCTGAGGGTTCGACCTTCCGAGACCGACACACAGGTGATTTAGGATTCGGAGTATCATTGAGGCTCTATCGGAATTACGCCATAGGACAGTTCGTAGAGCACCGCGTCTTCCTGATGATAGACAAAGATAGAAATGATCTTTCTCTATTGAAATTACGGTCGACCCAGGGCACGACTTTAAACGAGGTATCACTTGCAGTGAAAACTAAGTATCAGTGGACCGCATTGACGAACTCGAGCTATTTAATGCAGTCAGCTAATTACACGTTGCACTTGACGCGTCGACGATTTGTGCCAGCGCGCCGTGGCATCTGGACCACATTTGGCGAATGCAGCAAAGCGGTAATTTGAATAACAGCGCTACACGCCGGATCACATGTAAGATGGGAGGTTTACTCCCGAGGACCTCCAAACATTCTCACCTGGAACGCTACACTATATGGTAAGTTGTCAGCAGACTGCTTCTCATCAAAGTCAAGTAGACGGCGACATGAATTATAGCCATGGCACAACGTGTACCAGGAACGAAGTCCAAGACATGGCAGCGATGCAGGGCAAGAAACTTGGATAGGGTTTAGGGAAGGTGCAGAGTGGAGGGGGTAAATGGAGCAGATAGATGTATATGGGGGTCACGACAACATCAAGAAGGTGCGCACTCCCTCAAGTAATCACACGTGTGAATATACATAGATGAATTATCAAAAACGGATTGGAAGTATACCGCCTCGTATCTTCTCCGGCACAAAAATTGCATGCATCTACCACACTAATCATACTGCCGCGTGGTCGCCACCAGAGCATCCACGTCCGCATTAAAAACACAATCAAACGATGGATCCGCACCGACTTTGCCCTCCTCGTCATCATTATCGCCGTTGTCGTCATTGTCCAGCTCGAGCGTTGAAGTCGGCGGGCTCTCGGGAGTCTGAACGACCTGCTTTAATGCGGGAACAAGTTTTGGGTTGGGTTTCCTGAGCAGTGGAAGCTTGAAAGGTTGTAGCATAACTTGCCTTTGCATGTGAAGCCACGTAGGCAATTGCACAGTAGCATAGTAGCACAATTGAGACGAAGGGAACCTGGAATTGGGGAGGTTGTGTTGCGGGCGCATCCCCAGCGGTAGGACCTCATTGAGTCGTTTGGGGCACCACGGCAGAGTGTTGTAAGGATTACCAATCGTTTGTCGCCGGAAATAGCCGAATCAACGCTCACCACGACCACCACCAAGTCCTTGTATACACTAAAACCCTCGTTCGCGTCCCTCTGTTCGTCCCCGTCGCTCTACTCGCAACCGAGCCATCTAAAAACTGTCAAAACCTACATCTGCAAAACGACTGAAATGAACGCTTAACTTACGCGCGTTACGAACACTTACGAACGCTTACGACTTCAGTAGCGAAGCCATGCGATTGGTGGAGATCTGACAACTCACTTAGTCGTGTCAAAATCACGAAATCGAGTCTTAGATTTAGTCTTAAATTATTTAGCGAATCTTATCTTTGCAAGATAGTCCAATCAATCAATCTAACATTGCGATGCACACCACAGGACGTCTAGACTCGAGGGAAACTACATGAAATCTGTGTGTAGCGTGTGGTACCATTCTTTGTCTGAAAAATTGTTAAGGTAGAAGGTATCATAGCTTTCCAAACACGTCGAGGAGTCAACAGCACGATTAGCTCTGTCCCCGTAAACAGGAATGAGCTCGATTGCATGGGTAACATCGAGCAGAGGAATGATCATGCCAACCCGCACTTGTGTGCCATCAGGACCGGTCACAAAACGGCGCTTAACGCGGAACATCATGACTCCAACATCATCTTGAGGACGTGCGACGACTTCGAAGAGCTGTACATAGAGGAATATTTGGTCAAGTTCAGCAGGCAACGGTGGGCCTTTCTTTGACAAGCCAAACACCATGCGAACTTGAGCTACAATGGCGTCTAGTGAAGAAATGCGTGAATACAAAGATACTGACCGTAACTTCAAAACTCACCAAGATTTTCACCTTCTTCACCTTCACTGTGCATCTGCAGCAGGACAGCATCACAATTTCCATGAGGATAATTGGTAGATGGCGGATATGCTTGTACCTGCTGGCTCGGCATGATGAGACGTGGACGCAACGTCGAATGCAGCTGAATACGAAACTTGTTCCAGACGTTGAGCAGTCGGTTCTGGAAACGAGTTGCGAGCGTAGGGTTGACACTTTCAATGAAGGAGCGAAGCGTCAGAGGAAAGTCAGGAAGCTGGTATAATCGCGCCAAAAAAGGTGCTGTCTTGTTGGTGTGGTCACTGGATACAGTGATATGAAAGGCGACCCTGCTGTCTTCAGACAGCAGGCCTTTGAGGAAATGGTTGCGAATGGGACGTGGGCCTTGAAACCGAGACAGTTCTTCGGGAGCGACGCGCATGATCCAACCCAACATCGGGTCCATGTCAACGACTTCGTCGAATTCGTTGACGATGAGGTTGTTGAGGGACATGTCGTTTGAGCGGAGGAGGGCATAGAGGTCGAACTGGCGTGCAGTCTCTTCCCAGTCCAGGAGACGGACGACTTGCTGAGTGAACGTTGCACGTTGGTGGCTGGTGTGCTCAAATGGATTCTTGCACTGTGTGATGAGCATGCGCTCACTGACATCAGCAGTAAATTGTATAATGGAGCCAAGCTGGGGGATGGCTCGAGCGAATGATGCTAAGAGCTCAAGTTTTGGAATTTCAAAATGCTCAATAGGACCCGATGTTCCTCGGCGAGCCTCGGCACGGAGAATTGTGTGTTTGAATTCGTGAAACTCTTGGAGGGAGGAGGTCATGTCAGCGATCGATGTTGGAGTGAAAGTTGGAGCCTGTGCTTTGTAGATGAAATCGACCATCGCGCGAACAGCGCGGACGAAATCAGGATCGACGACACCTGCAATTGTAGGTACGATTGTGCGTTGGATGTCCCGATGTTCCCGACCGGTCATCTGCGAGACATGGGAGACACCTTGCCCAAAGTGACGGGTTCCGATGCGTTTATGTTGCGAACGAAAGCGAGTATCGAGTTCATCAGCCCCAACAACTTCCTTACACCACTTGAGGATGTGATCAAAGAAAAATTTATGGCATGTGTGGAGAAGTTCAGGTGCAAGGAAAATGGCTGGATCAGCGAAGCGCCAGTCACGCCAGAAGGGAAGCTGCACCCCGCTGAGATGTGATGCTTTGGCTGCTTCTTGAAATTCCTGGACCTTCCAGGGATCGATACGCTGACCAAGTTCTTCAAGTGTCCTGAGTGTGCCCTGGCCGTCGCGAGGTTCATACAACTTTCCGTCCCCGAACTGTGACTGGATGGCTAGAGTGACTGGTGATGTATTCTTACTTACACATGAAACCATCTGTTGTTCGGGGAGGTCGGCGGTATATGCGACAAGGGGGGTAAATCCATAGCGTAAGAGACCCAATGGGTCCACCATACTTGCGCCTACAGCGGCTGCCTCCTTGAGATTCACGCAGACTATATCCATGCACCGATGCCACACACGGGCTTGCAAGAGTGAAGAGAACTCAGGGTTGCAAATGAACTGAGGAATGGGCATATACGCGATGCACGACCATGCGTGAGCCGTAGCCTTCATGCGAATGTCAGATCGGATGTTAGCGATAGTAAGGAACGTGGGATGCATCTCGAGACCTCCTGTGTGTCGAGTGACAGGAGTTTTGTCCGATGCAAGAACGATGGGCACAATGGTAGCACCTCGTGGAAGCTCGTCCTATGCATAAAAACTATCGTCAGAATTCGTATTCGAACATAAAAAATAATACAAGCCTGGATATCATGCGCACGCGAACTCGACATCCATTCACCATATTCCCGTTCTCCGTCAACAAATATCTCATATGGATCGAATTCCATGTCATTGGCAAAAATCGGATTGCCAAATATGTGCTTCGTTACCTCCAAAGCATCACGCCAGATAAGATGCACAGGATGCGTTGTAACATAACCATCTGTCTCGATTGTTGTGCAGTGCCACTGTGGTCCCTTTGGCAGGGCGTCCATAAAGGTTAGCAGTTGGGGCGCAGTTTTGAATGTGGGCTGTTGCCGTGTTTCTGACTTCACCTAATAGCGAGCTGTTAAAATTTAAAAGTTAATGTAAAGTTCACTGACCCATAATAACTTCAAAAAGCGACTTATTTGCCCCTGATTCAGATTCTCGATGAGAAATTTGGCGAGTTCCCATTCCTCCCTCCCAGAAAATGGGTAGTACACATTATGTTCGCGAGCGGACTCATAGTCATGAGCCTTCATGCGCTCGAACGTATTTGGCCGTTGAAACCCGTAAATAGAGCCGGATTTCGTGTGATAGCGACCCATGCGTTCTTCACCTGGACCAGCAGGTTGGCGAAGTGCATGAGGGATGGGTACAGCATTGCATTGTGGATCATCTGTAAGGTGAGTGCAAAGTTCTTCCACCTTCACAAATGGCGTGGAACAGGTGGGACAAGGATACTGGCTAGTACCACTATATGATAGCCAGCTTGATCAGGACCATCGTGTAAGTTTGATATCAAAAACGTACTCTCCGGCCCTAAAAAACATCTCGTCAGAGGTAAAGCCCTCTTCTACATTGGATGCCATCGGAGCGTTCAACTTGAAGAACTTATTGATATCGCAGCCTTAAGAATCACCTTGACTGACCATCCACCGCCGTGTATTTGGAATTCTGTTAAGTCCTTCAAACTCCGAAACTCGCTGACAAGTCTGTTGACAGCACCGCAGCGAGAGGCTGAGTGAGAAAACATTCAGGTCAAATCCTCCAAGTCCATTGTTCATATCATGCTGGACACTTGTATTGCTACTATGCGCCCTACTAGCCCAACCAGCTCTGCAACTTTCGTCGAACATTCCTCTCCTGCTTATAGAGCAAGTCCCAAGGCTAAGCGTAAGTCTCGGTCTCTACGCAGGTCTCGGTCTCCCCTGGGGAACTACTCCTTACACTCTCCCCGGGGGAACTACACCTTACGGTCTCCCAAGGGGAGCTGCTCCTCATTTAACTCTGCTTTGTTTGACTCTGAGTCAGAGGGACATGATATCCCTATTGCAAGTTTTGTGTCCCTTGTAAGTCTTTTCCACATTTTTGCTGGTACTGATTGTATTGAACTCGATTAAACAGGCCCCAGAGATTCTGGGCGACACAAACATGCCGCCTGAGGATCTCAAAGTGGCTGTTGCTGCTCAGTATGCCACTTGTGAGAAGCTTCGCCACCTTATCATGACCAGGATCTGGCAGGTAGAAGAGGCGAGCAGGTGGACTAGTTTCTTGAACCAATCCATCAACAAGTTGAAGAAAGAACATGAAGCTGCAGAAGATGGGCTTCGACTCTGGATTGAAAACGCGCAGAAAGAGTGCACAGAGGTTTCTGAACCATCCTCCAGCGTTACTACAAACCTCCTCAAAGCAAAGGAGTCCCTCAAGTTTGTGCAAGGTAAATACAACGATATGGAAGGACTACTTATCGCACACGGGGTCACCGACACAGACTTGATCATGGCTAACGACGGTGGCGAAGACTCCGAAAGCGGTCGGGACTAGGCAATCAGTTAAGTTCATTTCTTATCTTGGTCAAAAATGTCACTGATTCGTCGATTACCACTCTAGATCAACGGTGTACCAGTTTTATGTATTCAAGAGTTTTGTAGTAATGTTCGATGTAGCCTCGTGACTGATTTCTCTTCTTCTTGTCACTATCGATACTATCTTGTCACCATCGATATCATTCCGCACTATCACATCTTTTTGCCTATTCTGTCCTTACCCCGCATGAAACTGCGTCAAACATACTGATCATCATGCCACGAGGTTCGCAGCATGCAGATTTCGGTGCGTCTAATACATAAATGTCTGCATTCGTGATTACTGATTGATCTTTCTATTGAATTGGCTGCGCCATGAGGCCGATAGAACCCTGGGGCCAATTAAATAACCCCGGCTGTTAAGCACCTGGACTCAAGCGTACATTTTTCTCATACGTTTTCCACCCACCCATCATCATGCCCCCAAAGGCCAGTGCAACTCGCAAGCACACGAAGATCACGAAAAAGCGTCCCTCGCGCAAGAATGCGAAGGTAAGTCTTACGGTACTACTACCTATGCATGCTACTAATATAATATTATTAGGCAATAAAAAAACCAGGGAAAAATTCGGGTTTAAACCCGTCTTTGAATTCAGATGCAAGCCAGATCGGTGTCCGTGTCGAACAACCTCAAGGTCCGGCATCATACCAGCAACTAATTTCGTTAATCGAATCCGAAGGCATGGACGAGGATGAGGACGACGAGGACGAGGATGATGAGATGGAGGAGGAAGATGATATGGAGGAAGTCAATATGGAGGAAGCCAATGAACATCTCGCACAACCAGGTCTGTCACACGACTACTACTCATCGTCCATGCAGCCAGCTCCACCTCCGGACCCCCGGCAGCTCCCTCGGCAACATCTTGGGCAACCAGGCCCATCGCACGACTACCGCCCACCGTTCATGCAGCCAGCTCCACCGCCGGACCCCCGGCAGATCCCTCGACAACATCTTGGGCAACCAGGCCCGTCACACGACTACCGCCCACCGTTCATGCAGCCAGCTCCACCACCAGACTCCCGGCAGCTCCAACAGCAACCAGCCCCTCATGCTCACACTTACGGGCTCCCACAGATGCCATTCGCACCACCGGAACTCGTGTCTCGTGAGGCACATCAATTTGATGTGCCCACACCGACAACCTTCAGGAATATCGGACACATGCAAGAGCCGCAGAGGGAGGAAGAACGGACACGTTATCTGGGACGCTTACCCATCGACCTGCCCGGAATTCGGAAGGTATTCGTATACGATCCTCGCCGCCCACCCGAAGGCCACCGGGGACAACTGTTCCCAACCGGAGTTATCAGAGTGCGTCGCTCACTTGTATCATGATCGTGACTGACTCTCTTCTACAGGCTACAGGAGACATCACTGTTACTGCACCACTCCCGTCTCGCAGAGAGCTGCCTCCGGTGTCTACTCCTCCCTCGCCTATCACTAATTTGCCTGTGGCTGGCTCCGGGCCTGTGGCCAACAGTCCTGCACGCTCCCATCCCTATGCTCCCCAACGTCCGACTAATGAGCAGTTCAAGAAATTGATGGAAGCCGCGAAGTCTAATATGCGCCGCAAGGTGTTACTAGAGAACGCTATGCCCGAAACGGGCGTCAACACGGCGATGGCGGAGGCAGCGCTGTCGGCAGCTCGCCAGGACTTCATGCCTGACGTGGAGGTTCCCAACTACGAAACCTGTCTTAAGAGCCTCCGAACCCTCACAACGACCATACGAACGGCCTTCAAAACGAGGGCACGCCGCGAAGTCCCAGTCCATTATGATCTTAACCGTCCGTTGGACGCAAATGCGGAGATCGTGCACAGGAAACAACATGTACCGATACTCGTTGAGAATCACGCATACTTGTTTTTGGTGAGTTTTCTTTTTGTATTCTTCTTCTAATGACTTATCCTTTTTTTTCTCTAGCACGAAACGAATGATCCGGACTCGCTGGCCCCAGTCAATCATCCTGGCGTACACGCCGTCATCGTTGCAGCTGTGTGGGAAACCGGCTTCCACACAGAGCTTGACATAGACGACGTGGACGCTCTCGACAATCTGATTTCACTCGGCGGCGCTGCAACACATTCAGTCCTCATGGAGCATCTCAACGGGAGACGTCAGACGGTGGAGTTTTCAGCATCTTCGTCATCTGGAGCAGAGTATCGTTTCATTCAACAACACAATCTCACCATTCGTAACGTTCCTGCAGTATATCACGCTTCCATTTCTTTAAAGAAAGATTTAGTTGAACGAGGTATATCTACTATCAGTACGGCTAGTATGTCTGATGATCTGTAGATATGTAGATAAGATTTGATTCCTTTGTGATAATCTTGCACTTTCATAAGATTCACTCAATATATATTGTTTTGGAAATATTTGGGTTGCTCGCTCGCGCAGAAACTTAAAAGACGCTAAGCGGTCGCCTAAAATCAAACACCGCTCATCGAGCGCATCCGACTTTTAGATGTATGCACGCTCTCGTTATCCTGTCAAGCCATACCCATTCAAGCCTCCACTCGCTCATTTTTCGTACTCTTTCGCGTTATTTATACTCTACCTTCTCGGACGCGATAATTCTCTCTTCGGACTCCGTTTTTCGCTTTAATTTCGGCCTAGCCATCCATAAGGACTCTTACTATTCTAAAGTATAAGTAGCCCATGTAAGGGATGCTCAATTCTTAAATGTCGTTGTCGTTTGCAAGCCAAACACACGCTAAGTGTCGCCAAACCTGTCCTAAACGGGACTTGTACCTAACCCTTACGGCGCGCAGCGCCAATGCTTTCAGTCTTAAAGCACATCCTAAGCCTCAGCAGTGCTCCTAATCTTCGTGGCTCGTGTTCCTAACCCTTAGAAGACTTAATCCTTAACATTCCTAAACCTTTCCTGACCCTTTCCATAGAGTATATCCAGTGCTATGTAGTGTTTGTGAATATAATGCACCTCTCACTTGAAAAATAGAATTGATTGATTATATATTGCTAGCATTTCTACATAAAAAGGTTTAGATGTGGGTTAGGCCTATGGAGGGATACGAACCACGAAGATTAGGAGCACTGCTGAGGTTTAGGATGTGCTTTAAGACTGAAAGCATTGGCGCTGCGCGCCGTAAGGGTTAGGTACAAGTCCCGTTTAGGACAGGTTTGGTGACACTTAGCGTGTGTTTGGCTTGCAAACGACAACGTCATTTAAGAATTGAGCATCCCTGTACAGTCCATACTGACAGGCAATAATATCCAGTATCAGAAGTCCCGCTCTCGCATTCATTATCTTCAGTATAATTGTCAGAAATTCTTAATTTAGATTTCAACCCCTTGCAACGGGTTTCAATGCCCAAATGCAGGGTGCGTCTTTAAATATGTTGCTATAATAGAGTTAGCATTGTCATGATCATTTAAATGATGGTTGCAAGCTCAGTTGCCATAGCCTGCCAATCATAGATGAGTCATTACAATCAAGACTGTGACATTGTATCATGATTTTCATGAGAGTCGCAACTGTCATTGCGAAGTTGTTGCAACTCCATTCAAATAGACAGTCAATGCATGGTAATAGAAATATTGTTTTTGCAAGACAGATTTCAATTTATTCAAACTGGTGCTAAACAGGATTCAGATATTCAAAATTAAATACTAACGAGTCTGAATCTAACTAGTCCTGCTTGTCCTCATCTGTGCCAAGTCTGATATGATCTTAACATCGAGACCATCATTAGTATTCTGCAAGACAAGCAATTAACAGAATAAAACATACCTGATGTACTGCCCAGACGCCCACAGCACTGTGCAGGTCTTTCTCCTTCAGCTCTTTCCATCGTGAGACATGGCGCTGGAGAGGGAGATGAGACATAGGGAGACAAGGAGAAGAAGCTGGAGTTCATAGAAACCAAGCATGCCGGGTGGGCCCTGTTACGCACTCAAATAGATCTGTTATGCGGAGCCCTAAGAGGGGCGTCGTCCGCTAATGTTCGTGACGTAACCGGAAGGGTCCGGTGTAGCGACTGAGACTGGTGACATTGAGTCGGCAGATATCAGAGACACGCGTGTCACGTGACTTCTAAGACGGATGTCTTCAAAGTCACTGACATTCTCAAAGTAAGGACAGTCTTGTCCGAACGATGAGGTGGTCGATCGAGGTAGACTTAGGCGCGATGAGCACCTAAGAAAAGATACTAGAGACTGAAGCTGAGGGGGCTTCAGAGGGAAGTATGTTTGAGGGAAGATTGAGTAGATTCAAGTTAGGGAATCTAGTACAGAGTGACCGACTACTTATACTAAGTGGAAAGGGTTAAGGGCAAGGCTACCGTACTGTAGGTAAGGGCAAAGGGGAAACAGAAAGGGTATAGGTACGCTGGTAGCAGAGCCGGATTAGTGATGTGAGGTTGAATGCGGAATGAGACCGAGAAATGTTGGAACGAGCCAACGGTAAATGATACAATGTGCAGCACGCATGAGTCAGAGGAAAGATAAGACAAGATAAGGAAAGCCACATTGGTGGCACGAGTCAGAACGAGTCATAGCCCGAAGGCACGTGCGCACGTTGGTGCGATAGGAGGGGGATGAGGGACAGGAACGGTCCCGAGGATCCGGTCAACAGATAGTCGGTAGAGAAGTACGAGCCGGAGGCATACGAGGGCGAGGACGAAGGGGAAAAATGATAGGGGGGCCATGTAGCCGATGTTACTTGTAACATTACCCCCGTTTCAAGGTAGAGTTCCACGAACTCTTTAATTGTCGTCCAAGGGAACATAGTCGTCCTGGTTGTTATACCACTCGGGGTCGAAGTCGAGGTCTTCGAGCCAGGAGGCGGCTTCGATTGCATTCTCTTCACGTTCTTGCTCGAGGCGAGCAGCGTCCTGGTCATATGCGGCTTCAAGCTGGCGCATGTCCCTGTAGAACCGGTCAGAAGAGGTTCCACAGCGAAGGATCCTTCTGCCATTGAGTCGAGGGCAGAAGGGAGTGAGATGTTTTGGGGCAAATTGCCCACAAATGCGGCAGAAGTATTGTGCGCAGTGTTTCTGTTTGTGTCCAAAGACACGACACTGGCGGCAGACAATGTTGCTGCGGTAGACCTGGGTGGTCTCAGTGGCATCACGACGCGCGTTGTTGATGGCGTCTTCCTGGGCTTTCTCGCGAGGATAGTGCCTAGTGAAGTTCTGGGTGCGCGGGCGATGCGCATGGGAGAGGGGTAGTCCTAGGGACAGGATGGATCGTGCACGAGCACGGTGATTTCAGCGTTGCGGAGTGGGAAGAGGTTCCGGAGAACCAATAGAAAGGTGTGGGACCACCTCGGTGGGTACCCAATCGTCGGGGTTGAGAACAGGTGGTTCGGGAGAGCACTCATCCAACTCTGGGATGGTGATAGAGATGGTGTCGACATCAAGAGTGGGGGAGGGGTTACGTGGAGCATAGAGCTCGCATTCGTATTCTTCGTAGAGACGGTCGATTTCGGGGTTGGTCAGCTGGGTGACATTGGGGATATGCTCTGGTGATTCAGAGCGGGGTAGTTGGGGAAGGAAGGGGGTCGGAGCTCTGTCATAGACAGCACGCTCGACGACTGCAAGCGGGTCGGGAGGGGGATTAAATGCCCGCTCCTCCTCGACGGCCATGACAGCGGCATGGAAGTTCCTGAGCTCAAACAGATTTAGCAAGGCTCACTTGATCTTGCCTTGGTTATATCTGGTCGAGACAGTGGATAGGGAAGTCTCCCTAGCCAAGTCGATCCTAGCGATATCGCCGGTGAGGGCGTCGGTGGCCCTGAAGGCCTGGACGAGGTTCATGGTTATGTTGTCGTTGGTGCGGTTGAGATAGTTGTCGAGTCGAAGTGCATACTGGGGGTCGCAGATGACTGCTTCCCAGTAGGCCCGTTGCCTATCTTGGACAACTGAGCGAAGGGATGGTCGTCGGAAGACGGTGTATCCCGGGGGGGAGGGCCTATCATGGCCACGCGTTGGCTGGCTGCGGTCGGAGGCAGACGCATGAGAGGTAGCGGATCAGTGCGAGGAAACAGACGACGCTGAGACCGACATAGTGAAGCGTCTTTCCTTGGGTAGTGGCGTAGGTGGGGTATTGGGTAACAGGTCTCTGTTTGTCGATGGGTTTGGGTTTTGTGGGGCGGTGGCGATTGCGGATTCGTTGGCGATGGAAGGTTTTGGTGTTGGTGTGGATGGGTTCGTCGGTGGGGTCAGCCCTCGTGTAGTGAGGGCGGTAGGAGAAGTTGCAGTGGCATTTGTTGATCAACATGAGATGGCGATTGAAGCGATCTTGAGTCGCTTCTTATACGCCTTCAGGAGCTCCGCTGCGGACTTTAATTCTGTTTCGGGGAGCCACGTTCGTTTGGAGGCAGGATAGCCAACCCAAGACACGAGGTACCGGCGATGCGATCCGGTACCCTTGTGTTGGAGGATAGCTTCCACTTTGTAGTGTTCCTCTCCATCGATAAGATCAGGAGGAGGTTCAGTGAAATTCGGTCCATGCACGTCTGTCTCCTGATAGGAGGAAAGTTCCGAGGCATGGAACGTGGGGTGGATACGCCAGCTGGCAGGCAGCTTTAGCTGGAACGTGATGGGGGAGAGGACCTTCTGGATTGGGAAGGGTCCATATCGTTTCGGGGCGAGTTTCCTAGAAGGGAATCCGGTGATTAGGTTCGTGGCAGATAGCCATACCTTATCACCAACGTTCCATGGCTTGTAACACTGGCCATAGGAACAATCAGCCATGCGTTGCTGCGCGAGGCTGTGGCATGCAAGGGCTTCTTCACGGATCTTGGCGAGTGACTTGACTCGGTCTTCGGCGGTTGGTAGGGTAGAGTCGGGGAAGAGATGGGGGATGCCTCGTAGTTCATAGCCCATCATGAGGTAGAAGGGAGAGGCATTTCTGGCGGAGTGTCGTCGGGAGTTATGAACGAATTCGGCCATAGGCAAGTGCTTTGCCCATTCGGAGGGAGTCGTCTGGCAGTAGATCCGGAGGTAGGTTTTGAGCTCTTGGTTGAGCCGTTCGGTCTGGCCATCTGTCTGAGGGTGGTAGGCAGTGGAAAGTGCGACTTGGTAGTCGAGGAGTCGTCCTAGCTCTTTTGCTAGCTTCGAGGCGGATTGGGGGCCTCGGTCCGAGATGATCTTGTCATAGAGTCCGAAGCGCATGAACACTTTCTTGAAGAAAAGTTCGGCTACTCCTTCCGCTGTGATGGTTTTTCTGCAAGGGCAGAGAATTACCCCCTTCGTAAGCCCATGGTCTACCATGACCATGACAGAGTCGTAGCCGGTGCTCTCGGGGAGATCGGTGATTAAATCAACCGAAAC